TTAAGGCCGCAGAAGCAAATGGACTATTTTCATCCCTTTTCAAATTCAGGGACCACGCCTTCATAGATTAATTACATATTTTAATAGTGAAATTGCGGGTGCAGGTGCATGTGCAAACAGACTGGAGCCGCTCCGTTATATTCCTAATATTAAGGTTGCTCCCATTCGCAGTGGGGTAATCATAGAGCGATAAGTCTGATCACAATTACCCCCAAGTTGCTTGCTTCTGTCGTGCTTCATAGACTAACTGGCACTCATGCAAGTCAGATTCGCGGAGAGAAAGCCGCATTTCATCAAAATTGATGGTGTATTGAACACATCTTCACTTCACGTCAGTTGTTGGGACACCGTCATATTTATTGGTAAACCACCGTAGTCATGTTCCTGGACACCAAAGGTGCCTTTGATTCTGTTGACCGAGGTGCCGTTTTGGACTGTCTGCTCAAGAAATGTGTACCCGACAAATACCTAAACATTACCAGGCAATCTACCTGTCACAAGTGCGTCAAAGTTGTACGCATATGCCGTTCGACGGTCTACCAGCGATCGGCACCCCGCCCTGCACAAAATGCTGTTCGTTCTGTGGAAAATTCTGGCGAGTCCATCTTCTGTTTAATACCACACGCTACCACATCTCATACCATGTGGATACCCCCATAAACTGTGGACTTGGACATAGAAGGCCAACCAATGCGCTTGGAAATCGATACCGGGTCATCAGTCACCTTGATCAACAAGCGAACATTACCTGATCTGATTCTGACACTGACTTACTCTATGTTACGTTCTCACACAGGAAAAGCGCTCGATGTATTGGATGTGTGTGATGTGAGGGTAACTCATAGAAGTGATACGTTGACTCTTCCATTAATCGTGGTTAACACCGATGGCCCGAACCTGCTTGGGAGGAATTGGTTGAAACACATGCCGGAAATACTTCGCAATGTCAAAAAGGTGGACCGCATTCCCGATTTGCCCACCACGAGCCGCTATGCGTAGGCAGTCAAGCCCAAGTTTGAATGACAAATCAAGAGATCGGTTATTCTTTGATCTCAGAAGCTCCGTGTAAGTCACAGATACTCTAACGTGTATGTATTGGTAGTAACACTTAATCGTACGGTGTTTCACTGGTGCAGACAAACTGTCCATGATAGCACGTATACCAGACATCTACCACCTCCTCGTCCTTCAACAGTATCTCCACTTAACCTTATGCGAATGATGAACGAAACTGAAAAAATCTCGGTGATTGTAACGCTCTCAGTGGCAACCGAAACGTGAGATGTTAATGATCGCTTCAATTCAAAGTCAAGCAATATTGTGCAATCGAAGCGGTGTCCGGGTGTTATAATAGTGATCCCAGATACATTCACATCCAAAGACATATTATTAGATCCACATACAAAAGGAGGAATATATGTCCCTCGCAAGCCCGTGTGGACGATGCAACGCAGCAATTTGAATTACTGCTCCTGAAAGAAGACACTCACGCGGGTGTATCGAAGTTTACTGCTTCTTTCAATAAGCTAAAATGTCGGATATTGAAACAATAAAATAATAATAGTAATCGTACTAATAGCGGACTTTCTCCGAAGCAAGAGATACCCTTTTCGGTGTGACCACCTATTTTAACATTTATTTTGCATGATATCCAAAGGATACACCTAATGTTAGGCATCAGCGGGAATCATATTTTGATTATTGTTGGTTCGCCAATTCAAAGTTCCAAATGGATATATGATACTTCGTGGTGTCCTGATAGAAAGCCTCGTGTAAAAACGGAACCTTTTTCTTTTCCTCTGGATAAGGGATGAACAGCAATTGTGTGGCAGTAAACGAGAAACCCAAACTTACATTTGAAACTATAGCATATAGCATAGAATTTAGGCAAAAGCATTTTCTATACCTTGTGCTGTTGTAAAAAGTGGCAGTGAAAGATAAAGGCGTTTACTTATTTTCAGCCCAGCAGATGTACATGGAAACCAAGACAATCAAGATGTATGTTTTTCCCTTCGACTGCAAAACATGCAAAGACTTTGGTTGCCCGAAACAATTTCATTAACATTGTCTTCCGAACATCGTTGGGTGGCGCCTGGGCTACTAGTCTGGAATCAATGACACCTAAGAGACGTATCAAATACGGGACAGTATAGAAGTTGAACGTGAGTGAATCCAACGTGTATTGTGCAGGCTACAAAAATAGGTAACCAATCAACCGGAGCGAGAAACGGTGCAGCAAGATACTCACCAAAACAATTTGTGTCAACGGAAGTGCCGTCAGTAAAACAAGTGGACGTTTTGTAGGTTAAAACAACAACCAAATCCAATATTGCAAAATACTGAAAGAGCATGTTTTCCAGTACACCATAAGATTTTACGCATCTTATGCTGGGCATGGGCCAGACATTGAGTCAGACAACATGGTCGATGTATAGAGCGGGTGGACCGTATGCAGTTTCTAGGGCACTTTGGGAGACTCGTTCATTTCTGCGCAATGTAT